CTCTTGCCTTCAAGGAATATACGGGTTGGTGAAGAGGGGTTTCGGGATCAACTTGCGAGGCAGTGGAATAAGAGGGGATGTCGTTCAGTTATAAATTGTGTATTCGTTCACTTTCATCAGGCACGTTTATTAATTTCGTACTTTCCCTCGCCGAGTGCAGGACTACTCGCCGCCGAGACTAAAGCGTAAGTGAGTTTTTGGAAGCCCCTTGCTGGACGCACACCGCGTTCAGCAAGACTCCCCCAAGACTTTTGAATCTCAAGAGAGTGTTCTCATTGGCTGAGTGGTTCATCACCTTAACCTTACAATTTTACCGCCGATAGCTTATTTTAAACCCATTGGTGGTTAGTGACGTGATTTTATCCTAAGTCTTCTAACGGCTGAAACACATCTGGAAGAGCTTACCCATCCCACCAAGTCGAGCCACCGATCATAAAATCACCTATTCACACAGTCACGTAGCTGGCGCCAGGCAGTCGCCCGGTGGAACAAACAAGTCTCCCAAGATGTGGCCCGAACTAGCGATACTAACCGTCAACTCGGGAAAATTCAATACAATTTGAATATAAATTCCGATTAAGGAAGGCGCTACAGAAACAAAACTAACTTAGGCCCCTTTCCTTGCATATAAACTGGAGTAATCGCCAAAAGTCCAGTCTAAGTCCATCTCCGGTCTGCCTGCTCGAGAATCGAACTCAGAGTGGGCTGTCACATATCCAAACCGAATTAGTTCAAAATATACTTTAAAAATTGTTATTTTGTATTACACTGAGTTCAGTCTGTCCCACATTCTTCATTGTATAATTGATAGAACCTTAATATAGGCCTACGTGCCTTGTAAATTTGATTATGAACGCCCCTCAAATAGCGAAACTCTGAGGTGTTCTTTTGCACTCGCCAACAGCGGCGCGTACCGTTACGATGATGTCCTAGCCTCAGCTCTTCCCGCTACCGTGAAGAAAATTCGAGAGTTGCAGACACTGATAGATCCTGATGAAGGGAGCTGCATACTGTTCTCATCCGTAAGTTAACAGACGCAATAAATAAAACTTCTTCTGAATGTATTATTACATAGTCACTTACAAAGAATTACCATTCATTTTCCGAACAGTAATCGTCTAGGCGAGAGGTTCCCAAAGTGTGGGGCGCGGCCCCTGGGGGGGGGGGAGTAGTTTTCTGGGTGGGGGCGTGTTGTTTGTATGAAAAACTTTTTTAACGAAATATGGAGAAACATTTTTAACATCCTTTGGTTGGTCGAGGCAGTTTAGTTGTCTTACTTGTATAGTCATAACTAAATTTTATGTCAAATCTGTTTGCTTGCACTTGTTCTGGAAGGGGGGGGGCGTGAAATTTATGAAATGTTTTAAGGGGGGCGCAAGGTATAAATTTTGGGAACATCTGGTCTAGGCAAAAAGGAAATTTTAATCTGTTTTGTAATGAGATGCGCGACGCATCTAGCAGACCTAAAGGAAAGAGACAATTTGAAAGTATAATATTAAAACGGATGTTAAAGAAATATCACGGTGGGCTTTTCTGTATCTGTGAATGAACTCTTGTGTTCCACGAAAGGCAAAGAATTTCTTTGTTAGTTCAACAACTATCAGATTCTAGATAAGGACTATGCTATACAGAAAATAAATGTGACATTTTAAAGCGGAGAACATAAAATACCACTCTTTGAAAATAAAAGTCTCGTACAAATACATTAATTCATTTGACTCCCAAAGATCTCGGTGAGATAAGTTTTAAACGGGCTATGACTTTTTCCGTCCACAACCTTGGAGATTTATCATCCACAGTCATTCTCTAATTCAGTGAGACACGTCATATCCTGTGACATTGAGGAGGTTAAACAACATTGAATGAATGTAGTGCCTATAAATAAACTTTTTCACAATGCAACAGGGAACCACAGGACAACCGAAAGGAGCCCTGATGTCACACAGAGGGTTGGTAAATGGCGTGTTCTTCCCCGGACAATGGTTTCTTCCGGACACCCTCGTAAGTACAGCACAGTCGATTCAGGGAACGTTCGTAACAAGAAATATCAAAAGAAGGAAGATAAAGCTTATACGGAGGTACACAGAAGGATGAAGAAATCAGTAAAACAGAAATACGAAAGGAAAGAGCTGATAAAGCCGGAAGAGGAGGTTGGAAAGAGAACAGATAATGTCGTTTAACTCGTAGGCAGTCGCATGAACTGTTTCGTTTCAAAATGGCTTAGATACGATTTAAATTATATCCACAAATGTTATTGTCTTTCGAATAAAATTTAATCAGACTCATTAGATGTGAATCCCCATTATGCAAACACATAAAATTTAATCAGACTCATTCAAAATGTTAGATAAAACATGCGGTTAGATGTGAATCCCCATTATGCAAACAATGCGATATATCAGAATGTGTTTTGTACTGTAGGATGGCGCACTGGTTTTGCCAGTGTTATTCTGTCATACATCAGGGTTGATGGCCGGAATTATGGGCACTGTGCGATTCGGCGCTACCTTGATACTTCCGTCCGCCACGTTTGACATAAAGAAGACGCTAGAAGCCATCATCAAATTCGGGTAACCACCCCCTTATATCACAATCACAGAACGACTTCAATTAGTTGAAACAAGAAAGAAATTGCGAAAGTAGTGCACTCCTTCGTTTTATGTTTGTCTTTTGTTTTAGAAGTAAACCGAAGATCAAAATGCATTTCGTATGATAAAGTTATTTCGTACAGAAATCAATTTCTGAAAAGTCTGATCATCATCTCATTACTCTCGAACATATTTAAACCGTATCAAAGAAGTTTCCAAATAAAAGATTAAGAGAATTTCAGTGAGGATATTTGGCGGCTGTTGCAGGTAGGACTAGAAAACGGGGCAACCAACACGGTGATGACTCATGGATTCATGTCACTCGCATTTGGGAGGCACAAATTTCGAATTCTGGAAGGGCGCTGTTTGATAGTCCTGTCACGTAAAGAGGTCCCAGTCGAATTTGTGTTTATTTTCAGAGCCGCGATGACTCTCGGTACTCCGTCGTTGTTCGTCGACATGATAACCATTGCTCGTCAGGAAGGGCTGAAGGTCACTACCCTGAAGACGGTGGCATATGGTGGGGCCCCCTGCCCCGTGCAAGTAGCCCTGGAGATGAAGGAAGTACTGAACATCAAGCGAATACTAGTAAGTGGGATCTGAGGGTTTCAGGGCGATGAGTATGAAGATTTCTGTCTTCTGGGTTGTTGCGCTGTGTAGTCTGGTAGATGTTTACCAACGTTTCAGAGGTCATACTGCCTCCGTCATCAGAGTATGAAGATTTCTGTCTTCTGGGTTATTGTGCTGTGTAGTCTGGTAGATGTTTACCAACGTTTCAGAGGTCATACTGCCTCCGTCATCAGGGCGATGAGTATGAAGATTTCTGTCTTCTGGGTTGTTGCGCCGTGTAGTCTGGAAGAAGTTCACCGACTTCAGTCACTCATCGCCCTGATGATGGAAGCAGCAAGGACCTCTGAAAAGTCGGTAAACTTCTACCATCTTCAGAATAATGGATGAGACAGAAGATAAAGGGGAGAGACTGCATTTAAAGGGGGGAAATGATCATCTGCAATGTCACACAAAAACAGGCCTCAGAAAATGAACAGTGTCCAACACAATACGAATACCGGTTTGATTATACTTTTCACTTTATAACGCGAAAACATCAGAACTTGTCATGTTCAACGTTACCAATTCGTTGCTTTCGAAATTAAATTGTTACTGAGGCCAAACGTTCTTATTCATGACTAGTAGAACATGGCCGTTAAAACTCAACGGGAAATTTTTATTTCGTATTTAAGCTCTTACGTTGTTTACTTTTTCCTTTATCCCTTTCATACATTTATCATCTTTAGACGTATTTCTAAAAGCTTCCACATTGTATCAGCACTTGTAAAATGCGATGTTTTACCACCTAACGTAATTAAACTGAGAAGCAGGTTAGTCATGCATAACATACACGCACGCAGTCATAAATACATTTATTGAATGTTATGAAAGTGTTCCGCTTGTGTCCCCAGCCCATATTTGGAATGACAGAAACTGGGCTGACTTTCGTGGGTAAACCGGAAGACACTCTGGAGCAGATGACGTCTACATCCGGCTGTCTCTGTTACCACACAGAGGTAAGCCCACTCAAGGAAAAGTGATTCAGTGTGTTTGTTTCTTTGTAAGATCATATCAGTCGTAATCTGTCTTAAAAATTAAATTACACGTTCTTATCATTGGCAGTACTGTCCGGAGATGCATGGTTTGTTTCAGGCTCCACCCGCTTTATCCCTGATAAAGAAACCCATGTACCACATTCGATAGAAGGCTGAGATGTTATCAGAGCCCTTGTGAACGTGATGTAGGGGAAAAAAAAAAAGAATTTCTACCCCTAACGGGAATATTAAACTTATTTTGTAAAATCGTGCCCAAAAATAACTTTTATGTAAGTAGTGTTTCCAGTCAGTCTTGGAGACTTCCCTATTTCCGTGTTTTTAGTTTGTATTTCACTTGATTTTGCCATGATCCGACCGTAATATGAAGGACAATATTATTTTTCAGGCGAAGGTAGTTGACGTAAACGGAAGAATGGTTCCCATGGGAACTCAAGGAGAGCTTTGGGTTAGAGGCTACTCAGTCATGAATGAATACTGGGGAGACGAAGAAATGACGCGGCAGCTGATAACAAAGGATGGGTGGGTTAAAACTGGGTGAGTGTGGAAGATGGGGTTTGATTTCGAGGGGCAGAACCGCGTCCAGTGAGAAGGATGTCAATGAAACTGTGATCGCACACATTCTGTTAAAAAAAAGGGGGGGGCCATAAATCCTTTGAAGCCGAAGCCCATCCAAACAAAAGGTATATAGCCTATAAGCCTCAACAGATGACGGATAATATTAAAATGGTATCACTTGAGTTTCTCACGGCAGAGAGTATGAAGATGGCTGTCTTCTGGTTGTAGCGCCGTGCAGTCAGGTAGAAGTGATTTGGTATAATGACGAACTTTTGTGCATAAGGAAATCATCCGCCTTGCAGGGTAAGATCTTGTAATTTCTGGACCAGCAAATCAAGCCTATATCTTAAAGAAACGCTTTCGTCACGGTGTTAGTTAACGATCAGTCTTTTGTTGCTACAGGGACTTGTTCATTCTGCAAGAGGACGGATACGGGAAGGTCGTGGGTCGAATCAATGAAGTAATCATCAGAATTGGAGACAAGATCTTCCCGACTGAGCTGGAGGAGTTCTTCCAGGAACATCCCGACGTGCAGGAGACGCAGGTAACCGTTTCAGATACATAAATAAATATTTATAAGAAGTGTCATTTATTGGATGTAAGAAAAGTATTACGTACAAAAACTATTTCTTTCTCTCGTTCTTTTTCATTATGAACCTCATTTTTATTTGTTACTGTTGCTCCCAAGCACTAACTTTAGAGATTTTTTTAAAAAATTATTTGTTACATATAGAGTGGACACAAATTATACGAATATTTTCAAATATTTATTCAACTAAAATTAAATGGCGTACATGAATTAAATTTATATTAATGGACAGTAAGTTTCAAATTTTTATAGCATGAGCGAGAAGTGAACGCAGTTGTTTTCGAATCGCAGTATAATGGCTACTCAACTCGAGAAAGAACCACAAATAATGTGAAATTTTCCTTCCAATTTTACAAGTTTCATTTAGGCGTAAGTGGCGTTTAGGTTTTGTTTTTAAATATTTGAAACAGTCGTTGCTACATTGCCACGGTTATTTTCGTGCATTGATTCAGGTCTTCGGTGTTCCCGACTCACGGACTGGAGAGGAAATTTGTGCGTATTTTCGTCTCAAAGATGGAACGACTCTCACCCAACAAGATATCGTGGATTACTGCAAGGGCAAGGTGAGACCTCGACACGCCTTACGCAGAAATTTATACATCACATGTGTTCCCATATCATGCACGAAGGTTGTAAATTTCTGTATAATTTTCATGTTTGTCCTTGGCACTACTCAAGTGACTTAAGAATCCGTACAAAGATTTTTAAATAATCTTGTTTCTTGTCAATCTAACTACTCCAATTCAACGCTTTTATTATTAAATTAAATTAAATCCGTGGCGTGACAGCCCTCTGAGAGCCAGAGCCGACTAGCTTGACTGCAGGCCTCGCGTTCACATGCCTAAGCAGAGGTGGACGATCATCCAACCAGATATAGGGTGACGTGTGGTCAGCACGACGAACCCCCAGCCATTGCTAGTTTTCCTGACCGGATTACGCTACTCATTGTAGCTCCCCAATTTCCTCACGATGCTGGGTTGGCACCGGTCCCATACAACGGTCGAAAGCTCATGAGAAAATTTCTTCTACCCCGAGACGTGAACCAGAGCGCATTCCGTATCGCCGGTCCGAATCGTGATGCTTCAGACCGCGCGGCTACGGCGCGGGACAACAACGCTTTTATATGTAAACAAATTAGAAATAAGCTTTTAATTAACGGAATAATGAAGTTATAAAATAATTTTCAGTCACTACGACAGACATTCGCAAAAGTTTGCTTTAGTATTGAATGGAATCTTTGCCCCTCCTTCCATTAAACACGTCATGCGACGAGATATATTTCTTACCATCTTCCCCAAATCTGTAACTGATGTTGTAAAGATTGATCCAAAAGTCGCGCAGAAGAGCGTGGGAAAGTAAGTGCGGTATCGCACTAGGATGCCAACGGGAGGCCATGGCGCAGCTGCCAGCATCTCGGCCAAACTCAATGCATTAATTTAGTAGTCATATATCGCACCTGGCATCCGTCTGGCAGCGCTTCCAACTTGGCATCGCTGCCAACCACGATGCCAAGTTCAAATGCTACTGGCATCGCTGCCACGGCCAACGCCAAATCAACATCACATGACAGTCTGGCCAGTCCATTGACGTCCGTGCGTGAATGTGCGTGTGTGTATTTCTGTTTCTTCCAAACATGGATAATTTCGACACCGAAAGATTGATGATTGAAATTCAGTCCCGACCATCACTATGGAATTCATCTGCTATTGAATACGCAAACCGGGACTTGAAAAAAAGAAACTGGGTAGAACTTGTGGAAATATTTGGAGGAGATTTATTTACAGTAGAAAAGAAAGAATTAGCTAAGAAGTGTTTCTATGGCTTTATTTGTGGGGCCGCTTTCCAATATGGCAACTTGATTTTTAAGTTTTTTTGTTTAGCAATCTATATATCTATCTATATATCACAAATAATGTGAATTAAGAAGAAACCTGCTTTTATAATGTATTATTAAATAAAGTTTGTTCATGTAATATTACATGTGATTTGCAAGAACTGAAATATTTCAAATTCAATAATGGGCAGCTTGTCTGGCGTCTTTTTCTGGCAGCTGGACGCCATGGCATCGCTGTTGGTGTCGCTGCCATGGCATCCTAGTGCGATACCGCCCTAAGTGTTGGCATCATTGTACTGTCGGCCGGGTGTTGTGCAGGCAGTATGACCTTGACGAATTCGCACACGGAATGCCCTACAATCGTTTGTGCGTAGTTTTCCAGAATAGCGCGTGACGAATAAATCAACATGCCGAATTGTTCACCGTTTTCGTGAAGGTTTTGGAGCTCTAGAAATCCACACGTTTTCATGAGGTGCCCTTACAGTCAGAAGATTGGCGTGTGGTGTGCAGTTTCACGTCGCAGGGTGGTGGGTCCTCTTTTCTTTAGAGAAACTGTTATTGCTGGACGTTACCAGGAAATCGTTATGCAGTTTATTGCATTACTGGAGGAAACAGAACGTGTGTCTAGAAATGTGATTAAAAGAGTGAATTTGTGTCACAGAGAAGGAAGATCACACTTTCAACACCTTCTGTGATTACCATATGGTAAGGTGAACATTACATTTGCATATGGTTTGGTTTACATTAGATTTGTATATTACTGTATATTATATGTATATTAATTCTTTGGGTTGCGCGACTTCTGGATCACCCTGTAGAAAGAAGCTTCAGTAGTTCTTATAAGAACGTTACAAATAGTTCCGAAAGAAACAAAGTAAATTATTTAAACATCATTTAGATTTTTGATACCGTCTTTTGTTATGTATTTGCAGATCCCTGACTACCAGATTCCGCGTTACATCCGGTTTGCGAATACATTTCCCAGATCACCAATGGGGAAGGTAGTGAAATCATATCTCCTCCAGACCCTCCTGAAAGAGATCGAGGGAAAATAATCGGCCATGACACGCAGATATTGAACCTGAAAAATCCACAAAGTAAACAAGAATAATTCTAATAAAATTACTAATAACCTAACCCAATACCTAGTGTAACATTTATTCCTTTACAGTTATTGTTATGAACTGGTATTTTTAAAATTATGCTGTCTCGGCAAAGCGATCGTTTGCGACATCTTTCTCTATAAACCACAGATTTTTTTAAAAAAAAAATTAAGGAGTGGTTGGTTATTATTTACAAAGTTGTTGATGTTCTACCTTCAAAAGAACAGTTGTTTTAAATATTACAAAAGTCTCTTCCGTCTGTTTTAAGTTTTTCCATCCTCACACCCCCCCCCCTTGCCAACCTGACTATTTGCACATTTGTTTCCAGTCCAGAAAGAAGGGAGAGACTGATTCCGTCTTTTTGGATCACGTTGGCAATAGCACATCTTCCGCTAGAGTAAAATTTATAATTTCGGGCACAACAACCTAATTTTGTTGAAATGTTTATCATGAGAACACATCGACTACATTGTTCACTAATGTATTTTTTATAGTGTTAATAGTTTGTTTCTTTGCTTATTTTATTTTCTAATACACTACACGGTACGCAAAGTTTTAAGAAAATATTCGTTAGGACATTTTGTAATTTATAAAATTTAATTCAGCATTGTACAAAATAAAATCTGCATAGTAAATATGCAATAAAAGTATTTCATGGGATCGTATAAAATGAAACACATCCAAGACAATTAATAAATTACATATTCGAGATCAGAGTTTAAAGTACAACGCGTTAACTTAAAAAAGTTTAACGCAACTGTCACTTCCAGGCTCCCGACTAAAACTGCATGACCCACAGCCAAGCGCCACAAGATTTTCTCGATACAAGTCAAGTATCTCTCCATAAACAAATAAAATCGACTGATATCAATTGTATGAATTCCTGCCTGGAGCCGGGAAATGACAATCCCGTTCAACTTTGTGTTGATGTTGGATGTGGTCAGCTGATGTAAATTAAAGTTTAAAGTAAAGGCAGTTGAATTCGAACCATACGGAAAGAATTAATGAAGAAAGATTGTCTAAAAACGTGTTGTACTGGACACCTCCAGAAAGAAAAAGGACACATACATTCGAATGAAAAACACATTTTAAATCCGCTATGAGAGATCGAGGTTTTGAGTATGTTGACTGGGAGAAAAGACTACATTTGGAAGAAAATCCGGCTGTTAAAATCAAGAAGCAGAGATAATAAATAATGTAAGTTGTGATTTGCCTTGATCCTTTTCGACTGGCTAAACGTTTATTACAAAACGACGAAATTTAATTAAATTAAATTCTGCGACCTTGAATCCAAATTCTCTTATGCTCACAGAGAACAGTTTTTCCACAAAAATGCGAGAACAAAGGCTTCGAAACCAATTATGTAGACGCTGATATAATTTCTTGTTCGATCCCTGACGGGGGCAGAGGATTTTTCCTCTAGCCTCTACGTCCAGACCGGCCCTGGGGCCCACCCAGCCTCCTGTCCAATGGGTACCGGGGTCCTTTCCCGGGGGTAAAACGCGGCCGGGGCGTGATGCTAACCCCTAATCTAGTGCCGAGGCTAGAAATGGGTAGGAGCTATACCTAGCTCCCCCCCCAAGTGCCTGCATAGGCGTGTAGCGGGACGCTTTACTTTACTGATCTAATTTGGTACATTGTTTTTGAATGAGTCTGCAGAATATTTGCAACGTCAAGGTTATTTAATCTACGAGCTGTCAAATCAATTACTGTGCCTCTCCAGTATAAGCAGCGAGCGGCGAACAACTCCGCTTGTCAGAGTCAGTCAATTTTTGTACGTCGTGGCTGGAGGACGGCAGAATGGTTAGCAGGTAAGATGCAAGCACTACGAAGCAAATTTCACACCAACTTAAGTACATGAGTGGTAATATTTTCTAAACACGGGAAGTTTGTGGCAATGCTACAACAACATATTTTTGTGGACAATGTTAAAGGTATTTATCCTGCGTAAAAAGCAATGGATCTAATGCCATGATTCGTTTTTTATTATTACTTAGTCGGATTTCCTCCTTACAAGATGAAATGGATTTCATATTTTACCGGTTATATAACTAGATTACGGTATTTTTTTACGTGTGTTCCAATTCATTATGCAATCATGGCGTCATCTGACACGATGCTAAGTTTCGGATACCACTGTCAGTTAATATAAGAATCAATTATGTATTACGACTGGTAAGTGACATGGAGGACGAAAGTTATAGAAGAGATGGTTAGTTATATAACAACAGACGCGAACAGAACAAACGAGAGAGAAAGATAACAAAACGGTTTTACAACGCAGGGATCATGCAAGAATTGTGTTCTGCCTGTCACTGAAAAAATATTGACAACTCCCGCTGTACGTTAATATTTATATACATAATCTCAGCCGGCCAATATCCATCTGCTCGTACGTACTTAATATTCTCTTCAGAGCACCGACCGTGGCCTTCAAGCCGAGCTACATGCACTGCTCGGGAACAGAACCACTGTTTGCCCTCACTTTAGGCCAGCTGATAGGGGAAGCAGCCGAGAAATGGGGCGAGCGAGAAGCGATGATTTCGCTGTACGAGGGTAAACGCTACACTTTCAAACAAGCACAAGAAAAGGTGACATGTTTTTTCTTTCTTTATAGTTTACAGATTTGAGAGTATCATCGAGCTCCTCAGAATTATTTTATGAAACGAGAACTAAGAATATTGAGGTTTGCAGAAGCCCAGATATTAAGAAGTGAGCAGTGTCAAATTAAATTAAAATTTTATATCACAATAACTTTATTTATTATAGTTCTTCCCTGTATGAATATCAGGATTCTTTGTTAACTAAAATATAACTTGAATATTAATTCAATAAAAAAGGTTATTATAATTTTAAGTCTTTTGACAGAATCTTGAGTCAAAAGAGACGTTATTCAGTACCGGCTGGTTAGCCACATTTAATTGTTGGTTAATAAATATACTGTTGCCAATCAATAAACTACTGAAACGAAGTGGTTTCCTTGAATTTCAATACATGAAACATTTCAAGAACTAAATAATTCGGTCCTCCACATACATCTTCGACGTTGGGCCGTTCTCGACAGGTTTTAATAGGCAATCCGCAGTAATGAGAACGCGCTTAAAAAGAATGGCATTGAACAGAAAATTTCAGCATGTGAGGTTTAAACAAATAAACATCTATTAACTTAGTTTGCCCCAGGCAGCATTTGGGTAAAAATTCGTAACTTTTTCAGGCTGACAGGCTTGCCGCTGGACTTCTAAAGTTGGGGCTTAAGCCTGGAGACCGATTGGGGTTATGGGGCCCCAGTGCCAGTGGTTGGTACATCTCGAGGTTTGCTGCGGCCAGGGCAGGACTTATTGCTGTGAGTAAGAACCAGCCATCATTGGGCTCTGATTCCACCGACCCCTCCCTACCAGGTTCAGCACTGATGCGAGTAACCTTGAAATCTTTTGTGTTCCCAGACACGTCCAATGTCTTCTCGCTTCAATGTAATTTTTATATCAACAGTAATAAGCGATTTTTTTATATGACAACCTGTAGGTTGCTTTATATTAGAAGTTGTTTACTTACTGCTGAGCTTTTTTAAAGATAAATTATTTTGAATGTATATTAGAATCAAAGTTACATTAGTTTTCTGTGTTTACAGACAAATCATTTGGATAGCTTACATTGCATAAAGAAAATTTTGGTTCAGGTGGCGTAAGTCGATTTCTCGTTTTGACGTAGTTTTCGAAATCCCAGTTTTCAGTTCTGTTTGAGATGGAAGACAGGTTCACAAGCAATTTACATATAGAGACGGATGTTTGCGAAGATTGGATTAATAAAATGTGATAGACCACTAACTGACTAACTCCATACTGAAGAGTCCTTTCTGAGCAACTTATAGCGTTAATCTAGTTAAGAAATTAGACTTACTGGTGGGAAATCATTCCAGGGCAAAGATGGACTCGTAGGACTGGGATCAAATCCAAGGCGCTTTGTCTCTGGTATGGATTACGTTTTTCATTTGGATTTGAGGCTTTAGTTTTGATAGTTGAGACTCGGTTAGTAATTCAGCTATTCACATCTAAACACTGTTTATTCTAAAACATAAAAAGTAGGTCTGATCCGAATTGTAAAATAGATGTTCTTTTCGTGTTCACTCACAAATGCCACTGTCTGTTTTATGGCAGCACTTGTCACGGGGTATAAAAAAAACAGCGAAGAAACTATTGCGCACAGCATGAATTACATAACAATGTAACAGGATAATGTGAACAGATGCTTCCTTACCTTTCATTCCATGGTTTCAAGAAACTGCAACAGATGAAATTGGAGTCCTATTGTTCTCCACACACGAGTGTCTCCTTATCATACGTGTTAAAATGGCCCTTCGGTGAATCGTAAATGATTATCATAACACACACTTCAATGCACATTGGAATGTTGTGTAGGATTTACATACTTCAAACACGTCGTATAATATAAAACTTAAATTAAAAATTAAAGGTTACCTGAACCTGGAATCAGCCCGGTATGCATTGTGGTTTACCAGCACTGACCGAACAGTAATCGAAAAATTAGTTCCGAGTTTAAAGGCTTGGTCCCTTCGTTACATTTATGGTCACTATCACTACATCCTCTTAGGAATAAAACTGAAAATATGTATTTCAGACTGAAATGTACAGTGGTCTTATAATGGTTCAAAATTTGCATGCAATGTCGAAATACAGGCCTACGTTTATATTAGTTACACACCTTTTTGCGCTTAGTTTCTCATGTCAGAATGGTTCAGATTGGTTATATCGATGGGAGTCGTCAAGGAAGACCGTTCAGTATAAATGTATTTCATTGTAAATGATGGATATTCCAGTACATTTCTTCACTGTCACAGTCCATATTCTACCTTCTAACAGACCTGCCTCACCTACAACTCGGAAGTATTTCGCCTTCGTCGGTTTCTTTCACAATGCCTTCGTTTTGGACGTCCGTTAGAAAAAATTTATTGCGTGAAATTAGTCTAAGATTTTTAACATTAATTTAGTTACCTTATATATCGCAGGTACAAATCGACCCCGCATACCAACCCCCACAGCTACAGGACGCTCTCGCCAAAGTGGAAGCCAAGGCGCTTATTTGTGCAGAGAAATTCAAGTCCAACTACTACAAGATGCTATTAACATTAATCCCAGAATTAAATGACTGTGCCGAGTTAGGAGTTGAAATCTGCAGTTCCAAACTACCAACCCTGAAAACACTCATTGTCATGAGTGATAAACAATACAGGTCAGTTCAAACAAATATAATAAACTTCCCAAGTCGGTCACCGAGTGTACAACTTTATACTGCCATCTATGTTATAGTTTATTAAATATTTAACTGTGTTTGGCTATACATCATGCTGCCATCTATCGGACATTTTTATGGCTATAAAGAAATTTAACATGCATTTGCGACATCTTTACGAAATGTATTGGAGTTACTTGAATAAAGTACAGGCTTGTTGAAAGATGTCGACAATCCTTCCCTCAAAAGAAACCATTTTACGACACACATGTTGGTGTCATTGATTCACAATCGTATTATAAAATCGATAGTATAATTTAACATTCTAATGTATAATTTCGTTCGGATTTTTTTTAACGAACTATTGCAATCGAATGAAAGCATGGATTTTTATTTGAATGAGTGTATTAGAAGAACAAAAATTTAATTAAAATATTCAATTGCCATATGTTAACAGAATTGAATCCAATGAACTGACGAGGTAATTTCTCGGAAACCGCCCCATTTTTGTACATTCCAAAGTTTTTCTTTACTTTCGTAGTCGTATTTAAGTTGAAATGCTTGCAAATAGTGAATGTGTGTCTATTACATGAAAGAAAAAAACATATTTGTCGTATGGCATCACATTGACAAAAGTATGAATAAATTAATGAATCTATATTTGTGTCTGTATGTACACAAGCACCAAATTAACAAAATGTACATTCATAAATGATTCCCATGAGTGTATAAAAAAAATTCTTGCATTCAACTGTTAGAGGAACATTGCTACTCGCTGAAGTATAATAATTTCATTTTCTGATCTAAACAGTGTATGTATTTGAATGTCTCCTTAATGATATTCTACGTATTGTCAGTAGTATTTCTGTTTAACAGAGGTGCTTATCGCTTGGAGGACATAATTTTGTCTGCAGATTCAGAGTACATTCAGGAAATACACCAGCTTCAAACACGAATACAGCCTGATGATGGATGTACCATTCAGTTTTCATCTGTAAGAATTTTTAAACAGTACTCGAATAGAAACACATCAATTTCCTTTAAGGCTGGGAGAGATATAAGCATTTATCATACAGTAAAACCTATCTAGAATGGAACCTGAATTACTTGGTCTGAGAACAGAGTGATAAATTTATCTCATGTAGACACAAAGAAAAAATTAAGAAAATTTGACAACTATTAGCCTGCTAGAACACTTCTCTCTACATAAATATACTGCTGCTGTTTCACTATACTCTGTGTTTTAATTGGTGGGATCTGTCATAAGTGAGAGACTTTTAAAGCTGACTATCAGTATCATGTTTGTAGGCATGCTAATAGAACACTCAAGAAACAAGGACATGAAAAGAAGAAACAAGGAAGGAAATGATAATAAACAATATTGAAGATGTGTGTTACTCAGTAGCTGCATAATTTAAGTATTTGGCATGATTTGTGTCATATGTTTTGGATCATAAATGCATGAGTATGAGCTATGCAGTGTATCTTAACTAGAAGAAATTTCCTTTATTATATAAAAACATCTCTGAAATAATAAAAAATGTTCTTACTGTATCAAGATTATGTATTTATGTCAATCAGTGGTATGACATATACCTCAAATTTTCTTTATTATGTTGAATTTACATGAGATGCATATAAAATGAGTTCAGCTTTTCAATTTTGGTCAGAAGATATTCTACAAAATATAATCAGTAAGACTTCCCATTATTACATTTTATTAGAATCTGTTCATGAAGCATGAACATAATACATGTCTATAGATAAGAGAGGATTGACAATTTACAGCAGACAAGTACTGCTACATTTCTTATATTTCTTCATTAGAAAACTAAAATTTTAATGACTGGATTTTGTTTCTGTCATACTCGTTTTGTCACTTGTGCTATTTCTTATATTTTATCTTGTATAAAATAATGTTATTTGTGTGCATTAACCTAGGGAACAACTGGAACTCCTAAAGCTGCCCTCTTGACCCATCACAACGTGGTGAACAATTCCTATTTCTTATCCAAGTGGATGGGTTTCAGCATGAAGGTCTGTATTTTCAGGACAGGAAATATTCTAAATCCATAGTCTTCCTTGTGCAAATAATACTTATTTAGTTGTTTGTTTGATCAAAATTCCCTTTTCATTTTGGACAGAAAATAATAATAAATTAAAAATATTTGATTCTATTTGTTTTTGCAATAAAATGAATTTTGTAAGATCTGAGATTTTCCGATAGTCCATTACTATAGAGATTTATAGGCTTAACACTGCTTTTAAATAATAAAAATTATTTACATATTGGGAAAAGGTGCTGCTTTCTTCAAGTTTGAAGTTATTTTTATTATATTTAACCCTGAAGGAGGCAGTATGTTCCTGTGGAATATGCTTATTTGTTACTGCTTTGGCATGGGACTTTGTAACAAGTAAGTAACCCCACTTATCATCCCTCTCTGTTGACTTTAACGTCACCAAGAAGCATAAGATCATGATTTATTACTAAAGTGTGTATGTATGTGTATTATCTCTAAACTAAGTTCAGCGTGCTTTGCCATGAGGATAATCTCACCACTCTTGAAAACAGACAATTTAAAATTATACAATTGTATTGGAGTGTCATGTTGTGCAGATTAATATATTATTTTATTATTCGTCTTCATGTAACAGGTGTGTAAAGACAGATAATAAAAAACATTTTATTCCATTTTATCGTGTATTTAATTATCTTCTGGGGAAATTCAACAGAAATCAAGAGTACTTTACATAAAAAAATATAATAATGGCAGGTGTTAAAAGAAGAGTCTGTTGCAGAGAAATTTAATATACTCCCCCTTGCAAGTGAATTCTTACTTAAAAATTGAAAAATTATCTTTTATCTCACTCCTACACTACAGAAAAATTTACATTGGTATTTTATTTGTACTAATTGTTGGTATTCGCATAATGTGATATTTTACATCCTTGGCTTATACAATGAAGGAGCTATGGAATTCATTATTATATTTCATTCTATAAGTCAGAAGTCCTGTTATTTTGACCATGGTTTCACATTTGTTTTCACTTTATTATCAGTTTTGACCTATTAGAGTTATGTTTCATATTTTAAACACTAATGCAGCATCTTAGAGACTGAGATTTTAAGTGTAATATTGTTTGCTTAAAACTTTTACAAACTGATTATTTACTTCACAGGGAGCAAAAATGTGCACTGTTACACAGTTCTGTCACTCTACGGGCACTTGTTATGGTATTATTTGTAGCCTACTTTTTGGATATACTGCTGTGTTGCCATCACCTATATTTGATGCTATGAAGACTTTGGAAGCTGTCATGCAAGAGAGGTAGGATGTGTGTAAGAACATATGAAAAATCTTAAGAAAATAAATAGTAATTATTTAATGAAACATTTTTTATTGGTGTTAATAATCAGGAATTTCTGCTGCAGCTTCATTACTGTCATTAGTTTTTCTGATCACTTCTGATTATTCAGTTATATCTGTATTGAAATGCAGAGTGGCCAACCACATTTCCGTAAGTGAGTATTGACTGATTATATTGTTCTCAGTAATAGAGGTATTTGCTACAACAAGGAACAGACACAATCCTAGAATATTATTATTTTGTGTGGTTTTCATTCATTCCAGTGACCACTTTCTAAGGTGTTATACAACCACAATTCTGCATGAAGTTTTATTTCCTTACTGTGATGGTTTTGCAGAAATGAACTTTCAGAAAATCTGATTTGTTATGTAATCAGTCAGCCCACCATAACATAATTTAATTCATTAAAGTAAGTAATGTTACAAGTAAGGCCGAGAAGAACATGGGAGTATAATATTAACATTTATTTAAGAGAAATTTATTAAAACAAGTGAGTGGGTTGAACTGGTCCAACATTTATGGGAATTTTTGAATTACAAGATAATTAATGCTATTCAAATAATCCAGTTGCACTTACAGTAAACTACTACAGCTTCATGATGAGTGGTTTATGCTGAGATTTGAACTACTGTTACATAGGATTTTCTATAAACTAAAATAATAAAGACATGGAACTACGTTTGAAGAATTGTTTTCTAGAAATGGAGTTGTAAGTACTCAACGTGAAAAGAGTTTTAACAAAAATATAACATTAACCTTAATGTTAAAATTAATATTATTATTTTTTTCAATTTCCCTTATTCCTTTAGCAATTAGTTTAACTTTATTTTATTATTATGATTTACAAGGAGGAGTACTAATGTACCATATTACATGCCAGAACAAAAAATACTGATGATGAAAATTATTTCCTCAAAGAGAACCATTAGTTTCACTTGGGATATATAACATTCTTTTCCTATTATTGTTGTTGTTACTGTTATCAGGGTGTTTTTTCCAGGTGCACACACATTTTTTCAACTCCATCTCTATATGTGGACTTGATTACCTCATCAAAAGTCCACAACCTCATAGTCACAACACTTCTGGTAGCAGCATATGGGGGTGCACCTTGTTCCCAACAGCTTGCCCTGCAGATGAAGGAAACGCTAAATATCAAACAATTGTGTGTGAGTATTTGAATGCATCAAATTAAAATAAAAAGCAGTGAAAGTGTAGAAGAAGACCAGGCACACAGCAATGGAAAGATGTACTATGTACAGTTTCCAAATGCAATATTTGCCATTTTGCTTCTGTGCACATAGCCTCATTGTTCGTGTACAGTCATGCATGAATTGCTTAAACTATACTTAAATGCCTGTGTTTTGACTGTACTGATTCATAAATTAAAGTAATTTCTGGTTCATTGGTTTCAGATGCCCCCATGCATTGTCTCTGACTGATTTTATAGCATTCTGAAATATTTGTGGTATGGGGAAAATCATAATAAAAATCTTTGTAATATTCCTAAAAAAATCATATTTCAGCACTCTGTGATATTTCTCATTATTTTTTATATTGTGTAGAATAGTTGCATGTCATGCTTATCACATGACAACTGCTCAGTCTGTAACTAAGAGTTTGAGAATTTTTGCTTCTAACATAACTTAGTACATTAAATAAATAATAAAAATGGTAATGGTAAAATTACAGTGCTGTCAGTTTTATTGAGGTTCTCCAGGTGATGGAAATTTATCTCTCATTTGTGCTATCCTTTTATTTTTATTATCATTATCACAATATTAAAGTTCACCATTACTTATTTTTATTCTGTGCAAATCCTTGACCCAAATACTGCCACATCATGTTATGAAGCTGTTTTAATGGCCATTGGTCAGTTTTGAAAGTGAACCTTCCTCCCTGGTATGGATGTACACAACAAGAGTTGGAATTTATCATGATGAGAACATATTGTCGAGCATAAAAGTCGCATAATGGTATATATGACATTGTTAATACTCCTGAAATCTCAGTGCCAAGCAAGCCCTACTATATGAATAACCTTTTCTTTAAGGTTTCCAGCCAAGTTATGGAATGACTGAATTGTGCGGAGTGTTCAGTTCTAGACCTGGAGACTCCTTGGAGCAAACAACAAGTACAGTTGGCAAAATTATAGAGCATTATGAGGTATGGAGATCTGAAAAGGACTTTGTGTTATGCTTTTTTTTTTTTTGAGAACATTTAACACCAGCCAATTCATCTATTTATGATGGAAACCCAAAGGTTCTGAACTTGTAGTTTTCAGACAAATCTTCATGTAATAGGCATATAAGCTAGATTACTTTACTTTGAGACCAGCCAAGTGCCAGGTCAGAGATGAAGCCCATGTCTAAGGGCTGAGGGTATGATGATGTGCTCTTGACTCAGGACATTGCACACCTCATGGGTAATGACAGTTGAGTATGAAGCTGTGGTGGAATGATGATTAGCAGGGGAAAACTAAGGTACTAAGAGAGAAACTTCCTCCATTGCCACTTTGTGTACCATTAATCTCACTTGAAGTCACCTGGGATTCATCATGGGTCTCCATAATGAGGAATCAGCAAAATAACTCATTATCATGATCTACAACATCCTTCCAAACTCATAATTCACAATTATCCTACCCTTCAATTTCCAATTGAATAAAGGAAGGAATGAACATCCTACCATAACATGATGTATTGGTTTTTTGCACCAAGTACATAAGATTAATGCAATATGGGGAAGTTGTGTCTCTTCATCCATCATCTTTCCATCTGCTTTCCATGTCTCCAAAATGATTTAATTTGGTACTCATCATATACATTAAATATGAACAGGTGAACTTGGTTTTAATTTATATTAGTCCAATATAACCCCTCCTTTTTATGAATCTCAAATAGAATTATTGTCATTTCCTCATAATTACTCATAGAACAGTAAATTGGTACATAATGAAAAAAAAAAGACTTTGTTAAGGTCTACAGGTTATTTTTTAAAATATTTTTCAATTTTCATGTAATATATACTGTATGGAACACTGGAAGAAATATTTCATGACTATGTAGTGCTATAACTTTGTAGTAATACATTGTGAATTAGAGTAATACCAAATAAATATACAAAATTTTAAGAACATATTTGAGAAACGTGTTTGAGAATTTTCACTCTTGTCATAAACTGAACGTGTGTGATTCAGCCTTCTTACTCTAGTTATACACTATTATGAATTGGGAGTTGCAGAGAAAAGTCCCAACACCATAGCCAACCAGTACAGATCCTCTCACTTTACTGATTCTTTTCTCTGCCTGAGTTGTACACTGAAACAAAAGCCCAAGATCATAACATATTTTTTAGTAGTAGAAGTGTTATGCTCAGAACTCAGTTATGATCCTCAACATTTAATTGTACTGAATTTGTAAATACTTGGACATTATACTAACTGACTCTCTAGTATCAATCCTTGAAGATTCAAAACTACTTCTAATAAAACTTGTCACTGAACATGATCTTGAACCAGTTGAATCGATCTTTACAAACTGTTTCCTAAGCTTAGTTTATTTTCATTTTATTCTACTGTTTGTCTTGACTGTGGCCACCTTCAAAGAAATGTTCCCATCAAAATTCTGCATGCATGTCTTTTTCCCCTCTTTGACCTTCGTGAACTGACTATTGTAACAGTATCAGGTGATGTATAAATCACAAAGTAGTGCAATAAGAAAATCATGTTAAAAATTCATGTTCTGAATAACAGATGAAAGTGGTGGACAGTGAAGGGTGCATGGTTCCTATGGGAACTCCTGGAGAGCTCTGGGTGCGAGGCCATGGTGTCATGTTGGGATACTGGAATGATGAAGAAAAGACCCGGGAATTTATTCGTCCAGATGGATGGGCAAAAACTGGGTGAGGATCTGCAGTCAATTCTACATCTTCTATTGCCTGTTGACGTTTAGGAGAGACAGTGTAGCTTTGTGTGCTTTTATTTCCAATAATATAAAGATTTTCCATTTCAGTTTCTTCACACTAATCTGTAATTTAGTTACAGTTTTTCTGTAAAATATCAATACAAATAATTCATAATATACTAATTTTTATGAAAGTTTTAAATAATGCAGCAACATAAACACAACAACAACAACAAAATAATCCCCCCCCTTTTTTTAGATTATCATTGCTCTGCTCACTAAATATAACATTGTGTCTTGTTTCAGTAGCTTCTTGCTTAATCACTTATCACTGTTGTGAAGGTACATAGTTTGAATTCTGATTAGGGGTCAGCTATTCTGACTGAGAATTTCTGTTGTTTTCTTCAATGCCCGGAGGTAAATTCTGGGATCATTCCTTATAGTAGGCTATGACTACTTTCTTTCATATCCATCTGAATTCATTTACCATTCACGTTCATTCTACACTCATTTAGCATTACGTAACTTTGGTAATTGATACAGTGTCATGAAGTAAGTGAATAATTAAAACAGTAAAACATTTTCTGTCTCAGAGACCAGTTTGTGCTTCAGGAAGATGGTTATGCAAGAATTGTAGGTCGAGTAAAGGACGTCATCATCAGGATTGGAGACAAAATCTTCCCATCTGAGATAGAACAGTTCTTTGAGGCACATCCCGATATAATGGAAGCTCAGGTGCAGTCATACCCACAGCTATTTCACTAGCTTATTAGTTGTCAGTATTCAATGAAGCTGTGGAAGGAATCACCTGTTATGGAAGCTGAAAATTTACTAATTTTATTCACTAAAGCCCACCAGTGGAACTTGAACTGAGTACAGATATTTTCCAAATGAGGTTTTTGCCATTGTGCATGACTCATTTGAATTTATTTTTCATTTATTATATGTGCAAATCTGTTGCTAAGAAGCTAATATGCAATGTAGTCCCCTCCTCACCAAATTTAACTGAAATCTGTTTAGCAGTATATGTAATTAAACATGATGACAAGCAAAATGGATACATACTTATGGTCTCATATTGTGTTTATTCTATGCATTTTGTGTGTGGATTGCAAGAAGTTTACTACTAAGAAAAGCATACTTTCTGCTATGGACAGAACTATTCTATTAAAAGTACTGACTCCTTTAACATTAAATCCTTTTATGTATTTGAGAGTTATCATAGCAAAAGCAAATAAATGTAAAATAAAAATGTCTTCAGCAGAAATTAAGTTTTAAAATAATAAATTATGTTATTTATATGTGCATGGATGGAATTTGCAATATCTATTTCTGACAATATGATGAATATTGGCAAACACACAAGACAACTGAATAATTTTAATTAGCTGTGAAGTTGGTTAATGAATTTTGTTCTCTATATCCACCTAGGCATTTGGAGTGCCAGACCCAAGGGTTGGAGAAGAAATCTGTGTTTACATCCGTCTTCGTGAAGGAGCCACTGTTACAGAACGAGATATCATCGATTACTCTAAGGATAAAGTGAGTGATGATGTGAGATGGACATACCATATATTCATGGTTGTTGTGTTTTTCCAAAATATTGTCCACTAAAATATTCTAATCTAAAATTTAATTCTGAAGACTAAAAGATTAATAATATACAGGTCTACTGTATATTATTCAAATGACTTTTTTGTGTTCCTGCATGCACATTTACTACCAGACATTTAACAGTAGACTGTAAAAAAATGTCAGTGCTTATAGCCCAAGTTTTAGAGAGTGGTGTGCTAAGTTGTGAATTTTCTACAGTGGCAGTATTAAAGTGTATCTCATAAATGAGAAACTCCAATTATGGCAGTGAATGTGTCATTGGACCTTTACTGTAGATACAAATATGTTGTTACAAAGTGAAGCACACTATGCTGAATCAGACATTGTTTTCCTCTGTACTTAATTAAATATTTACCATATCAAAACATGTAAAGAGTTCATAGAAATAATTTGTATATTGCAGGTTGCTGATTACCGCATCCCACGGTACATCAGATTCACCAATGAATTTCCAAGGACTGCTGCTACTGGCAAGGTGCAGAAGACACAACTACTGAAAAAGTTGCTTTCAGAAATGAACAATACAAACTGAGTTAGGAACAGATGTACAAAAGTTTGCAAGATTATCAGAAAATCTACCATATAACAGTATGTGACCTGCAGACTTCACAAAGTTTTTTGTTATAAATTATCAGAATGATAAAATATATGTTTAATCTTGAAGTTCATGAACTACATTCTTTAGATATTTGATTGTGTTAAGTTGTATTTAATGTCTAAAGTTTCAATTCTATAAAGACACATTGTTTATGCTATAACTTTATAAGTTTTTACTGTAGGTTCTTTCTGAACGCTTTCTACATGTCTCCGAGCATTGTTGTTAACTATATCCATGGAACAGACTTATGCTTGAGAAGTTAATAGTTACTCAGCTAGTCAAGAAATTACCTACTCTCTTATAGAAAACAAATGTTCATTACTGTTTTCACAAGAGCTTGCCACTGGACATTATGATTAGCCAGAAGAACCCAGTCCACTTCCTCACACCACATTTGTTAATTGTAGTTAAATTATATTCTAAGTCTGTCTGTAATACATATAAAAATCACAAATCAGGAAAATAAAAGTATTCACTAGGTTAATTTTTTGAACTTTTATTACAGTTATATTTTTATCATGTTGTTGTTAATGGACTTCACATATGACTTGCCAACAGTATGACATAAAATAGTAGTATATTATCATACAGATGATGACAGGTTTTATGGATACAAAGTTCTGGACTTATGAATGTATATAGTGAGTAAGGATTAAAGATATAACTCCAGGAATATTTACCTGTTAAGTATTTATATGTCAACTCTAGGAAGTATGATAGTTTGTCATAGGCTGTGCATATAATATTGTTATCAGAACATTCTCAGCTGCAAGCATCTCTCAAACTAAGCTACAAGTACTGTTGAAAACTACTGTATCAGTTCAAATAAAACTGGTGCTTCATGAAGGAATCTTGCAAACGGAAAATGGTACAGTTGTTTATGGAAGCAAATACTTAGGAACATATCATGGATTAACCGCCCATAACGTTTGAGACAACGTGGTTTTCTTCAGTCCCTCCAGGCAAATGCTAGAATATCTTAAATTAGGCCATGACTTAATGTCCTTTCCAAAAAAGTACACTAATCGTTCGAAGTCAAAGAGTCTGTGATACTAACAATGTAGTAACCCATAATTACAAAAATACAACAGTGAGGTAAGGGGGATTACTAATTCAAATAATTTTAGTGAACATAAAAATATGTATCCGTCTGCCATCTATAATTTAATGTAAAATACAAACTATTGCATAGTTCTATGTTTACTCAACAGGTTGGTCTCATATCGCCGATCGGTCGAAACAAACTGTTGTAATCGACAATCAAAAGCTCTGGATCAAAAGTATAAGCCCAACATGGCGGCAGAAAAGCCGCTGGAGCAGAACACATTGGAAATACGGACCAAAAGTATCGAGCAAACTCTTATACCACTAGTCAAACAGGTAAGGAAATACATGCCAGTTATTTATTAACGGAAAATTATACTGTTTCAATATAATTTCTATCAAGCGGTGAAAATACTTTGAAGTTCCTGATTGTTGTGCCCTCGGAAGATATAATTCTGTGTGTTCTCCTTCTGGGTCCTTGCTCCACCCCTTACCTGTATAGTGATTACAGTAATTAGATTGCTAGTACATGTGCAAGGGTTCAGGCTTGGAAATGTAGTGTTCATTTAAAGGACATGCAACACTGTAATAGGCTACGTAATCGATTTCAATATGGGAAAGGCAGTAAACACTTTTAAATGTCATGTACATCGCCAATATACTGTATGGAATTAGGAACCAAACTGCACTTCAATAGCAGTTATTTGCAAATAATGAGAATAATCATGCACGATAATTCGGAAGTTACAAGTGGCGTAGTAGGACCACACCTTCTAATTATTGCAAGTCTTGTGCCATTTTAGAAAGTTGTGTAAATGTTTCAGCTAGTTTTAACATGAAAATAAATAAAACAACAGATGTTTTACCGTATGTTCTCAGAATATTACCATGACATCTGTGTAGTGTGTGAAGTAGAATTAAGGGCACACCCAAAAATATGGATTCTTTTTATTCTGGGCTAGAACCCTGCATTTAGGTAAGTGTTGGTGTATTGAGGCATGTGGTCGTTAAAAAGTTTGTAATAATCAAAACATTGGGTATATTCACAATAAATTCTGTACCATATGGTTGTTCAAATACTCGTGTCACTCTTTTTAATATTTCTCAAAATTCAATTAAAATTACGCAGTGTTACCTCTAGAGTTTGTTTCAGAGGGACTCAAAATTTTCAGTGAATTTATAAGTTTTAATTCCTATCAAGAGAAATAATTCAGCATTTATTTAGTAGATGAATAATTTTTATGATCTAATGCAGTTACAGAATATATGTAGACTTAAAGGTCCTGTTTTAATGAAAAACATTTATAATAGGGTATTATAGAGAAGCAGCATGTTCTCAGATTGTAAGATGAAATATTTACCAAAAATTAAATTTTGTTGAACAATGCCCCAACTTTATGAGACATATCTTCATGCCATCTTCACAGAAGGTCAAAGGCATTCTTTTGCCATAACTTTGATCAATCTACTGTTCATCACCATTTTTATTTTCTTCAGTAGAACCCGTAAAATAACCAAATTAAGGAACAACCTTGGGTGTGTGTGTGTTTAAAATAAAAGTAATTTAATGTATAAATCCAGAAGTGGTAATCTGGATGGCAGTGTCTGTTGCTTTAAAAATGATTTCCTCGAAACTTTTGTGAATTGTGAGTTACGATGTGATGTAGTATTGTAATTGGTTACAGTGTATCACCTCCATATCAGCTGACAATTTTTATCTTATTACATCATTGTATTTTTTAATATCTGTTAATGAATATAACCAAGTAATATAATGTAAGATTTTAGGTTTTCACAGCGGTGAGTATGAAGGTTTCTGTCTTCTGGGTTGTTGCGCCGTGTAGTCTGGTCGATGTTAACCAACGTTTCTGAGGTCATACTGCCTCCGTCATCAGGGCGATGAGTATAAAGATTTCTGTCTTCTGGATTGTTGCGCTGTGTAGTCTGGTCGATGTTAAGACAGAAGACAGAAATCTTCAAGTAATATAATTTTCAGCAAATAATATATTAGGATTTTAATGGACTATGTATAGCACACATGGAAGAGATGAGAAATGCAGAAATATTTTGGGAGACCTAAACATAGATAGGAGGATAATATTGAAATAGATCTTAAAGAAATGTGGGGGGATGATATGGACTGGATTCATCGACTCAGGATACAGACCAGTGGTGGTTCTTGTGGATGTGATATTTCCAGAAAATGTGGGGAAGATTCTCAACTGTCTGGTTGACTCTTTCCTTCCCAAGGACTCTGTTTTACAGATTTATTTAATCAATGTAACAAACAGTTACATGTAATGTTGGGATATTTATGACATGATGGTAACTGCATTTCTGCGTTTTCTGTCAAAAAAAAAGATTTGCTAATTTTAATTTAAATTGTGGAAATTTTTAAATAGGCCAGAGGATTGCCAGAGATGTGTTAATTCGTTCAGACAAGTCATTTAAGTCTTAAAATGCTGATTGCAACTAACTTGAGTGTTTAGAATTGATACCAACTACTATACAAACGTTTTCAAGCTGGGTTAATGGGAAATGAGCTTCCAACTTAACTTCAGAAGCAGACCAGAAAATAATCTTAATGTTATCTCATATCAGCATCTGCACGAGAGCTGATTGTGTGAAAAATCAGTGACTGGGCAACATGGAGAAAAGCTGCGAACATGCGGATTTTTTTTGCCTTCATATTAGATGTTAACGGTAGTATCGAATATGTGTTGAAGGGACGGATGCGCGAGGTTAATAAACATAATGTTTCGATTATATCTCGCACATAATTTTATAGGTGAACGATAATCGCATAAGATAGGTTGAAAATGGTGACGAAGCAAACTGTTCGTCTTGCACAACTTTCTTTGGTTGGGTCGGGTTACAATTTAGAAATTAAATTTATGTATAAGCTACATCTCGTTTGCACCCCTCGAGGTTTTTAATGTCCACCATGACTCCCGAAGCAGCCTCGAGTCCCAGTGTCTCTGTGGATACTGCGAAAGCCCGAAAATTTACATGAGGAATACAATATTGAGCAAAGCTAACTATAAGACTACCGCTCTTTAGTGATTCTGAGGTTTCGTGCGGAACAAATGAGAAACAATGCTACTTGTATACATACATCGCTGTAAATTCACAACGTTACTAAAATGAATTCAAACATCACAAATCGGACGCAAAACTAACAGTTTTCTACAGATTTGCCATGCATTCTGCTAATTGTTTAAACATTATTGCCAATACTATTGGTACGTATTATTATGTTTACATAGCAATCCAGCTGCCATGCAGATCGCTGCCTTGCGAAAGCGCGTTATGTATTTGTTGCTACTCAGCTGTGTCATGCATTTGTTGGCATAACAATACTTAACTGCCAAGCTACTTATCGACCATCGCAGTCGCTGTGCGTTGCTGGACTCATTCTTGTCAAGGCCCAGCAGTCGAGAGTTCGATCATAGATATCGCTATTATGGTCGGAAGTCGATGTTTTATTTCATGAAGCCAGTTGTACCATTTGAAGTCAACTTTGTTTCACAATTTCGATTCGTTATTTTGCACATAACTTGTGTTTTAGAGTTATCTGTATAATCCTGTTTACAGATACTTATTTTGACAAACAAATGTAATTGTTTTGATGAACTTTGGTTAATAAACGCCGGTTTGTTACGCCCACACTGAACCTCGCGGCTGTGTTACTAGCTGTTCCTGTTAAGGAACCATTCGACTCCACGTGGTCTACGCCACTGACAACATCGTTAAATAAACCATAAGTAAACATAAGTTGATTCTCGATATCTAATTTCCGTGTTCTGAAGGCGTATGTATTCTCGGAAAAAAGTTCTGTTTTTCCGAAATTCTCCTAATCTGGTATTGCCAAAACTGGACACCATTGCAAGATTACTAATCTGATTAATATAGACTAAGCAGAGAGCTGATCAACTTTCGTTGATATTTGGAGCTGAATTGAAATGTTCATTGAAGATTTAATCGATTACTCACGCCGTCGTTCCATTCATTGATTTATGTAAGAACGAGCGTTACGGTTAGTGGCTGACAGATATGGCTTGTTTTTGGATATACCGAGTATGGTTCTCGACTCATCCTTTCTATCGTGATGAATGTATCGTGGTTTTTCCCAGGCCGTCCAAAGCCATTATTGCGTGTTTGCTTTCGCGCCCTTCCAAATCGCTTGCAGTTGACGTTTTATTAGAGGTTGTGGCCTGCACGAATCAGGTGCTTTTTACGAATATACTCTAGAGATATCCGGTTCGAATCTCAACCGAGTTGCAT